CAGCCCTCACTCAGCGCCGCAAAGAGGCCCGTGTCGATTATGCCAAAAAGCACCTTGTGGTCCCCGAAACTCCGAAAAGCAGTTCTTGATGACCCTGACGACACCATTGGCACTCTCTTCGAATGGAGACAGACACGTTCTTCTCCCTTCGGAATGGTGGGATCATGGTTGGGGGTGCATTCTCTTCTACAGGTTTGTCTGCTTTGGCATTTCTATCTGGCAATCAAAACTCATCTGCATATGCCGAAACTTTCAGCAAGTACTTGTTTCCGTTTGAGCATTTCCATTATGCTGATGATTTTGTGTTTATGCAAGATGCAACTTCGATTCAAACATCAGTATACACGAAACAATTCTTGATTGATGAAAAGGCTACTCTTTTTGACCACCCATCACTATCTTCTGTGTTGTCTCCCATTGAGAACCTTTGGAGCATCCTAGCTCCATGTGTATCATAACTGCTTTCAGTTTTAAAGCGCTGTGGGCCTCAAGAAAGTAATCATCGACGAATGATCGAGAATTAGCCAAGATCTCATCATAGCGCTTATCCAGTCGATGCCACGACGTTGTGTGGCCGTGTTGGAAGCCAATGGTGGTAGAACAGGCTATTAAGAAAATTAATGTGATCATTCGTGCGTGTTTATTGCACATTTATTCTTTGGGTATTTCTTCTGGCGCGGGCTTGGATTCAGATTTTGAGTATCCGGACATCACCGAAAATATTTTGATGAGAAGCATTACAGTGAACGGGGAAATTTAAGCCACACTCAGAATCGAAGTAGTTTGTTTTTGAGGAGTATGATTGGAGGAGATACTACGAAGTTGGACGGATAATGTGACCAATGAAACTCAGCAAAGTGTTCTGGGCAAAAAATATAATAGATTTGAAAACCCAGGGATATGACGACAAGTTTAGATATGACAAGTATAGAGTATACAAATCGTTTTTCGTCGATTTCTCAGTCAATATTATCGATATCGGTTTGAAACCAAAACGAATCGCTTCTTCTCGTCAAGAGCTATCGATTGCACCTAAAATGATATTTTCTGTGTACACCAAATGGCAGCAAAAATACGCAATATTACGGCAAAGGAATTGCTTCGAGAAAACTACCATGCACCTGCTCGGGTGTGATTAAGTCTTAAGCCTTTATCGCTCGCTTGATCATCGTCATCCGCTTCACATGAGCCGTTGGTGAGTACCAGTCTTCATCGTTGCCATTGTCATCAATCACATCCTCAGCAATCCACAAGTCCCTGAGGTGGCGCTTGAACGGCGCCATAATGGAAACATCAAGCGGCTGGCAATGGGACGTGGCGTTCGCAGGTACGGAGCACACAGTGTAGCCGAGATGCTCAGCCGTTTC